AGTTTTTTAAAGTTTGTTTGCTTGTTTTTTTATTTATTTATTTTGAGGGGGGGAGGGGCAGAGAGAGAGGAAAGAGAGAGAATCCCAAGCAGGCTCTGCACTGTGGGGTTTGAACTTGGCCAGCTGTGAGATCACCACCTGAGCTGAAGTCAAGAGTCGGATACTTAACTGAATGAGCCACCCAGTTGCCCCTCGTTGTAGTTTTTTTTAAAGTTTATTTTATTTATTTTGAGAGAGCACACCTGTATGTGAATGGGGGAGGGCCAGAGAGAGAGGGAGAGAGAGAGTGACAGGCAGGCTCTGTGCTGTCAACATGGAGCCCAACGTGGGGTTTGATCTCATGAACTGTGCGATCATGACCTGAGCTGAAATTAAGAGTCAGATGCTTAACTGAGTAAGCCACCCAGGCTCCCCTCTCATTGTAGTTTTGATTTGCATTTCCCTGATGATGAGTGGTGTTGAGCATCTTTTCATGTGTTTTTCATCTGTATGTCTTCTTTAGAAAAATGTCTGTTCATGTCTTTTGCCCAGTTTTTAACTGGAGTGTCTTTTGGGTATTGAGTTTAAAAGTTCTTTGCATAGTTTGGATATTAACGCTTTGTCAGATATGTCATTTGCAAGTATCTTCTCCCATTTCATAGGTTGCCTTTTAGTTTCGTTGATTGTTTCCTTCACTGTGAAGAAGTTTTTTATTTTGATGAAGTCCCAGTAGTTTATTTTTGCTTTATGAATGATTGGTTTAAACAAGTCCTTGGCTTGTTAAATTACAGGGCACCAGCTGATTGCTGAGCCGCAAGTCTGTTTATTGAATCTACAGAGTACAGCCAAAAGTTCGCCACTGGAGTGTTCTCCTGTTGACTCCAACAAGTTTTGGAGAAGCATTTGCTTCTCGTGGACAATTTCCATGATCAAATCTTTACCCTACTAAGAGTATATTTCCTTCCCTTGGGTCCAGCACATCTGATCACTCCTTCAAGAAAACTAGTCTGTGCTGATTATGCCAATGGGAGGTGTCTTCCAAGGAACAGACAATGAATTTTAGCCCCTTGCTTTCTGAAGACATTATCTTCTTTATTTGGTGGTGCTTGGAAGACCCAGGGGAAACCATCTGGAGCATGGTTTATTCTATACTGTATGGTCGAACTCAGACAAGAATATTTTTCTGTGACTTCAAGTGTACCCAAGGAAATTGGTTCTCTCTGGAAGGCACAAGTTACATACGTGGGGAAATTAGCGTCTGATTTAAAATTTAGGGCATCTCAAATCTTTCTCTGTTGTAACTTGTTGATCTCAATACTATTTTATTCTCCAGAAACATCATGTTTTTCTCAGAAGAGATATTTTAACTTCTTGGGCAAGTGTCAGGGTATACTATGTAATAAATAAGCTGCCTTTTTGCTAGGCCATTAGATGGCTGGAGGTTTGGGATTAGGCAAGGGATTGATACGGTTTGAAAAAGAGGGAGAGGGGCGCCTGGGTGGCTCAGTCGGTTAAGCGGCCGACTTCGGCTCGGGTCACGATCTCGCGGTCCGTGAGTTCGAGCCCCACGTCGGGCTCTGTGCTGACTGCTCAGAGCCTGAAGCCTGTTTCGGATTCTGTGTCTCCCTCTCTCTCTGACCCTCCCCCGTTCATGCTCTGTCTCTCTCTGTCTCAAAAATAAACGTTAAAAAAAAAAAAAAAGAAAATGAGGGAGATGAGTATTATAAGCAACTGAGGAGTTTCTTGGTATCAGAAAGCTTTATTCATTCATTCGTTCACTCATTTCTGCATTGTCTAGCGTCCATTCCATATGCCAGGTACTGTGCAAAATGATAGTTACAACTGTATTGCACTTTTCATGTATGTTCTGTGCCACCTTATGAAAACATTGGGATGTGGGTTTTTTTAAATTGCTTTTACGGTTGAAGAAATTGAGGCTCAGAGAGGATAGGCTCAGGCTCACACGGCCAGTTGGGGGTGAGATGAGGATTCGTTCCCAGTCCGTGTCTCCAAACCATCGTGCCTTTGCTGTCAGGCTCATGCAGGAAGTTCAGCTCTCTCTGCATTCGTTTTGCTGCAGGCCCTTGTTCCCTCGAGCCGATGGAAGGCGAGTGACAGAATTACACCCTGAGATGGTACTATGACAAGGAGAAGCAGGCCTGCCAACAGTTCTGACATGGCAGCTGCGGGGGCAACGCGAACCGGTTCCAAACCAAGGAAGAGTGCGAGGCCCGGTGTGTCCCAACACCCCTGTAGGGCCTTGCAGCTGCTTCTGTTTTCAGAGCTGACGAAAATGACATTACCTTTCCTGAGACCGTACCACACAGCTCATAAATTATGTAGCTCACTCTACAATCTCATTGGTCGGATTCCTAACCCCTGAACTTTTTCCTACGAGCGAGGACGTGGGCCAGATGATTTGTCACTTGAGAAGGACTGCATTCTAGTGGTTAAAAGACTAACTAAAAGGTTCCTGCAAGTATGTCAAGGACTTAGAACTGAATGAAAAAGAAACTTGAATTGTACCTACAGTATTACTTAACAAACAATTTTTTTTTTTTTTTGGCTCTGTAGCAAAAGAAAACTCAATGGAAACAGTGAATAAAACCTAATTTGGAAGCGAGTTGCAACTTGAATTCTTGTTGTCACTAAGAGAACATGGAAGTGTTAGTCAAAGCGGGGGTCTGGAAATTTTTAATGTGATATTTAATCCATGCTACTCAGTGTAAAAATAAAGGTATTTTGACTAAGTCACTTGGTGTGAAACTGCGTGTGATACCTGCTCACTGCAATCCGTGTGATATTTTGTGACATAGCAGACGATGGTGAGAAAGCAGTGAGTTTGCCGTGGGACTGAGTCTTCGTCATCTGTTACGACTCTTGTGCATTGAAACGTGGTGACTCAACAATTAAAGCTGATGTTTTCAATGCAAATATGAAATGAAGGGTCTAGGTTCACCCTGGATGAAAAGTTTTTCCATATAAATAGTGAAGAAATTATGATTTGGGGAGCTCTTCCTCTGGCTTCATGGCTCTATCCCCCAGGCCTCTAACTTGGACCCAGCTTCAGGGCAGAAACGGGCACTACATGGAATTCTAGAGTTGCTAGATATCGAGGGTGCCTGATGTGGGCCTTGGGAGGGTCATGTACGAATCAGTTTGGGCTGCCATAGCAGAATACCACAGACTGGGTGGCTTAAACATCAGAAACTTCCTTCTCATAGTTCTGGAAGTCCAAACTGGACTGGAAGTCTAAGACCAAAGTGTGGACGATTTGAAAAAAGAAGAGGGCTCCTGGGTTTGAGAAAGCTGCCCTCTCACTCCGCCCTCAAATGGCCTTTCCTCTGTGGGGAGAGAGTGAAGGAGGGAGGAAGGGAGGGAGTGAGGGAATGAGGATGGGGGCGGGGAGAGAGGGAGAAGGAGAGAAAGGGAGGGAGAGTTCTCTCGTGTCTCTTCTTACAAGGACACTAATTCCATAGAATTAGAACTCTATCCTTATGACCTCATTTAACCTTCATTACCTCCTAAAGGCTGTATCTCCAAATGCAGTCACATTGGGGCTTCAGTATATGAATTTTGAGGTGACATAAACATTCAGTCTATAAAGGATCACAAGCAGCTGGTGGGTGCCCCCACGGACCCAGAGGGGAGTTTGCTCTCTGGCAAGTTTCTGGTTCAACAGAATCCTATTTGTTCCTCCTCTCAGCCCAGTGACAAAGGAGATGGGATAGGAACCAGTTTTATATAAAATAATCACAGAAACATTAACGTTTTGATTCCATTTCTGTGGCAATTATTTTTATCTGATCACAAAATGATGACTATGTGTTCATGGCAGCAAGTTTGTAAAACACAGAAAAGCACAGGAAAGAAAGAAATATCACTTATAATCTTTTCTCCAAAAGGTAATCATTTGGTATAATCCAGAAATGCCTAGAATACTATCTTTTTCCCCTTCCTTAACACACTACCTTGTACCTGATTTTGCTAACGCATTTTCACGATTAGAATGAAATGGAAATGCTCCATCTTGTTTGAAAGAGCTGCTCATTGTGCAGGTGTGTGTATGCGTTTCTCTCTTTTAGGCGTAACCTCAGCTGCCTGGGCATAAAGGGGTTGAGCATATCTATCCTGAGGATGGTATGTGATTTGAGCTGTGAGAGGAGTTGTTCAGGTGTTGGCTGTTGCCATCCTTGGAACGCTTATAAGGTCCGCCTGTAGTTCTCCTTGCATTTAATAGATGGTGGTATAACTCTTCCTCAGAGCTCCTCTGACCCAAGCAGAAAGTGTACTTGGAAAGCTTTCAGGGAAGAGAGGGCAATAAACCACAAGAGACTCTTAATGATAGAGAGCAAACTAAGGGTTGATGGAGGGATGTGGGTGGAAGATGGGCTGGATGGCTGATGGGTATTAAGGAGGGCAACTGTTGTGATGAACACTGGATATTGTATGTAAGTGATGAATCACTGAATTCTTCTGAAACCAATATTGCACTATATGTTAACTAAAATGTAAATTTAAAAAATGTTGAAAAAGAAAAGAAAAAAGAAAAGCCATGAGTTAGACAATCTGACCAAGGATTGGAAACAATATCTATTGTTCTAGATACTATTCAATCTATAAGACACTTTCCAACATTATTTCATGTACTTACCTACTCCTACCACTAAATCTTGGATGTTGGCATTGTTCTTTCTAATTTTTCCCCTTGTTCTTCCCATTCTCAGAAAGGTGAAGCTTCTTGACCCAGGCACCTAACAGAAACTGGCTTGGAATTCTTTTTGATCCCCAGAACAGTGCTCCTTCAGCTCTACTCCATTGTTCCAAAACATTGGCTGCCACCGAAGGTCAGAGAATTCTGAAGGTCAGAGCCCAAAGTGGGTCGGGTAGGAGGATAGACTGAGACAGAAGGGAGAAATTTCCTGCTTGACATAAAGGAGCTGGACTTTGCTGTCTACCTCAGATGCTCCCCTCCCAGCCCTGGGGGTTCTGGTCTGGCCCAAGTCTGGAAGAGGAAACAGCAGGGATGGACTGAAAGAAAAGCTGAACTGTGAGGCAAGGAATCTTAAGGACAGCCCTGGCCAACCCCACAGGGAGCTTTGGAGCTAAAAGTCTGGCCAAAGTTGCCTCAGGTGTGTGGAATTAGTTGGGACCAATGGCTGCCTCCACTAGCCGTTGGAAGTGGGATGCCCCAGGAAGGGCACAGTCATGGGTGAGGCAGCTCTGGAGGGGCCCACCTGAGAGCTGTCTGCCAACCGTGCTCCTAGCAGCTGGGGCAACATCCCTCTGTTGAGGGGACCTCTGGGGGATGCATCTGCATCACAGTGCTGTTACAGCATTGTTTCCAAATTTCCAAAGCTTCCTGAATCCGATAGGACACACTCAGAAGCATTAGTGTAGCATCCGAGGCCTCAGAGATTGGGTCTTCACATCCAGTCTCTGGCCTCACCGACGGTGACAGTTGTTCTGTCCCTTCAAGTTTTCACTTGAACAATACTAAATAGAACATGTATAGTTTTCTGGAAATTCGACATCCTACTTGTCCATGCTGCTGCCTTTGGTGATACTTCTGTGGGGAGTGCCCTATTAATTCTTTTGTTTGTAAAGTATTTCATAGGCATCTACCAGATCCATTACCTGTATCAAAATCCAGCTCAGGTCTTATTGCCTCTCTGAAAACCCCTCTGATTATCCCTTTTAAAGAAAGAATTAGGGGCGCCTGGGTGGCGCAGTCGGTTAAGCGTCCGACTTCAGCCAGGTCACCATCTCACGGTCCGTGAGTTCGAGCCCCGCGTCGGGCTCTGGGCTGATGGCTCGGAGCCTGGAGCCTGTTTCCGGTTCTGTGTCTCCCTCTCTCCCTGCCCCTCCCCCGTTCATGCTCTGTCTCTCTCTGTCCCAAAAATAAATAAACGTTGAAAAAAAAAAATTAAAAAAAAAAAAAAGAAAGAAAGAATTAGTCATTACCTGCCATAGGCTGACTTGGGCACACTTCTCTTTTTGCCTTTTTTCCACCAGGTTTACGTCATTTACCTATTAGTCTCCTTAGACTGTGAGTTTTTTCACCTTAGAACCGCCTGCCCTGCACAGGGCCCAACTGATTTTCTTTCAGTCCTGATTTTGTAACTCTCTATCTGTTTTCAGAGACTGTTGGAAAGGACCCCCCCACCCCCAATAATGCTTGACTCATGCCATACCTCTTACTGTAGAAAATTTCTCTGCTTTGTAGATGTTCTGCACTTGTTCCAGATGTCAGGACATCAGTGCCCCATCAGCCAAGTGGAAAAAGTTTTATGTGTTTTTAATTTCCTCTTTGGATCAGTTATCATATCATCACTATGAACTGTTTTGGGGATATTGGTTTTTCTGATGAAGGAATTAAGATTAGAAAGGCCAAGTGAAATCAAATCTCACGTAATGAATCATTTGGTAGCCTAAAGTTAGAATAATTTTTGTTATTAAATTTTATTAAACTTTGTTAAATTTTTGCCATCTTGAGATCTTGTGTTGGATTATTCCTTTGGTTTTTGAATAGCCCCAGAGGTATGTTTTCAATGTGGCTGGGGATTCATAGTTGGGACTATGGTGTTACGGGAAATACCAGGACTGGGCACCAGAATTCAGCATGTGATTCCCTCTGTGATTTCCCTGGTGACATACACAACTGACTCCATGTTTTCTGGACCTTGGTCTTTTCTGGCTAAGGAGACAGGGGATGAGAAGAACATCTCTTGCCTCCTGTAGTCTGTCTAAATTTTGCACACAAACTAATCCATTCCTTCTTTGGCTCTTCTCTTACCTTAGGCACCTAAAAGAAGCAAGCCCAGCTGAGGACAAAAGAACCACCCAGTGGAGTCCAACACAGATTGTCGCCTCACAGTATAATGAGCTGAATAAATGATTGTTGTTTTAGAACACTAAGTTTTGGGGTGATATAATTTGAAGAAAGTTGGGCTGAGCTGGCTCATGTATCTGCAGCCAGCCACCAGTCTGTTGATCAGTTAGCTGGCTTAGGGCATCTTCCTAATGAGAAAACAATTATATATTTGTATGCATCTAGTAATAAAGCCTTAAAATATATAAAACACCAATGCAGTTAAGTTAAAGGAAGCTTTAGAAGCAGAAGAACGGGAAAGGAAGAGGTAATATAATCTCTGTTTGTAGATGATATGAATATGTTTCTGGAAAAATAAAAAGATCTAAGAGAACAGCAGTGTTACAGATAGAGACTGCTCTATCAGCCTGGATCTTGCAGTGATCAGGAACAACTTACCATGAAGGACACAAAATACAGCTGAGAAGGAACCTTTTTTGCTGTAAACCACTGAGATTTAGGGGATGTTACTGCAGCATTACCGAGCCTATTCCCAGGGATATGGAGAGAGAGCAATGGGGACTCACAAACATGGTTCTAGGGAGTGAAAATTAGAAAGAATTCTGGCATTTTCTATTAAAATTAAAAATACAAATACCCTGGATCAGCAACTTCAGTCTTAGGTGTATCCCCTGGAAACTCATGTGCATGATCACCGGGATACATACACGTTAATATGCAATGTTCACAGCAACAAGTTCAGACCCCCAAGTCATGAACAACCCATATGTCCATTAATAAAGACATGGGTGAACATGCTGTGCTACATTAAAACAGGGTGTACAGAAATGGAAAGGAGTTAATGAAACTGAATTAAGATTCGGCAACATGGCTGAATCTTACAAAAGATATTTTGGAGAGAAAGGAATATGCACAGAATAGGATTCCATTCATCTGAGCTTCAAAAACAGGCAAAATTAAATTATATTGCTATACCTTATGTGGTGAGACTAGGCAGAAAAAAAGCAAAGATGCAGTTACCATTGGAGTCAGGATGGCAATGTGGTACAGGCTGTGATGTGTCACCCATACCCGCCTTTTAGGAATGAAGAATTCTTTCCTCCAGCTGCTGTGAGTGCTGCTGGTTGGTGACCCTCAGAGGCTAGTCTTCACTGGAGATTTCCTCGGTTGAAGAAAAACTCGCATCCTGCCATGGGCAGATGTATCCAGTGACTGGTCAGTATTAAATTTAAATTATAAAGGTCCAACCCCACCACTTGGGACACTTACGGGGCCATCCCAGCTCTGAGCTGTCTGTGGGGTCAGCTAAGAACTTCTTTGGGACTCCCACACAGCCCAACTAGTGTCTCTGCCTAATTGGATCCTCTTCCCTTCCTTTCCACAGGTGTTGGCCTCAAAAGCACTCCCTTATAAATAGTCTACATGTTAAGCTCTGTTTCAGAGCCTGCTTCCTAGGGTCCCTAGTTTGTCATCCTTTTGCAAAGGGAGGTGCCTGGGATTGGGAAGTAGAACATGGATGGCAGTTATGTTCAAGTCTCCTACCAGAGTTCTGTCTCCACAGGTATTTCCTTTACGTGTAGTCCCTAAAGTGTACATTTATGTTTTGTGCCATTGATTTATGTTCTACGCACCACAGTACTCCAGAAATTCCTTGGAAATACAAAGCCAGAACATGTGAGCTAATGTTATCTGCATATAACTTTGGATTCAGGCAAGTAGAACACGTTCTATGTTGGTCTGAGTTAATGTCTTTCTTTGGGAGTGGAAGCAAGCTCTTCACTATGTATTTATGAGTGGGTTCATTGTAAAAGCATGAGTTTTTCATTCATCAGAAGACAGCACTTACATCAGAATGCCTTCTGTTAGGAAAAGAAATACTCAGACTGGGCCTGGGTTTGATTTCTTAATCACTTTCCTCAGGGGAAAGTGAAGAGTTATGTCCGATGTTCAGTCTCATTTTAATCTTGAAGTCCATTGAAATACCTTGGTTGTTTTATTTTAATTCTAGTACAATTAATGTACAGTGTTATATTAGTTTCAGGTGTACAATACAGTGATTCAACAGTTCTATGTTCGTGCTCATCAGTATAAGTGTACTCTTTTTTTTTCTTTTTTAAAGTTTAGAGAGAGAGAGAGAGAGAGAGAGCATGAGAGCGCACAGTCAGGGGAGGGGCAGAGACAGAGGGAGAGAGAGAATCCCAAGCAGGCTGTGCACCACCAGCACAGAGCCCAATGTGGGGCTCGAACTCACAAACTTTGAGATCATGACCTGAGCTTAAGTCATACGCTTAACTCACTGAGCCACCCAGGTGCCCAATATAAGCGTACTCTTAATCCCCATCACCCATTTAACCCATCCCCCCACCTGCCTCCCCTCTGGTAACCATCAGTTTGTTCTCTATACTTAAGAGTCTGTTTTTTTTATTTGTATCTTTTGTTTAATTTGTTTTTTATTTATTAAATTCCACATATGTATGGAATCACCTGGTATTTGTCCTTCTCTTACTTACTTCACTTACCACTATACCCTCTAGCTCCATCCATGTTGTTGCAAATGGCAAGATTTCGTTCTTTTTATGGCTGAATAATATTCCATTGTATATATATACCACATCTTCTTTATCCATTCATCTATTGAGGGATGCTTGAGTTACTTCTACAATTTGACTGTTGCAAATAATGCTGCAATGAGCATAGGGGTGTGTATATCTTTTTGAACTGGTGTTTTTGATTTGGGGTGGGGGATACATAGCCAGTAGTTGAATTACTAGATCATATGGTAATTCTATTTTTCATTTTTTGAGGAGCTTCCATACTGTCTTCCAGAGTGGCTGTACCAGTTTGCATTCCCACCAATAGTGCATGAGGGTTCCCTTTTCTCCACATCCTTACCAACACTTGTTTCTTGTGTTGTTCATTTTAGCCATTTTGACAGGTGTGAGGTGATATCCCATTGTGGTTTTGATTTGCATTTCCCTGATGATGAGTGATGCTGAGCATTTTTTCATGTCTGTTGGCTATGTAGATATCCTCTTTGAGAAAAGTCAGTTTATGCCTTCTGTCCATTTTTAATTGGATTATTTGTTTTGTTTTGTTTGGGGGTTGAGTTGTATAAATTCTTTATATATTTTGGATACTGACCCCTAATCAGATATATCATTTGCAAATATTTTCTCCCATTTAATAGATTGTCATAATTTTGACTCTTAGAACTGGGCAGGACTTAGAAAGAAATTTAAAAGGAGAGATATAAGAAGTAATATTTATTTATCCAAATAAAAATTTACTGAACCCTTCTTATCTTAGTTATTATATGTTAAGAACACTTCTATTAGCTTGGGTTATAGAAGTGAAGAATAAAGAAATGAATTCTTGCTTTCATCTGCTCATGTAGTTACCTTTTATTTTTATTTAAAAATTTTTTTTAATTTTAGAGAGAAAGTATGAGTGAGAGAGAGGGGCAGAGGGAGAGGGAGAGGGAGAGGGAGAGGGAGAGGGAGAGAGAGAGAGAGAGAGAGAGAGAGAGAGAGAGAGAATCTTAAGCAGGCTCCACACTCAGTGCAGAGCCTGACGTGGGGCTCGATCCCACGACCTTGGGATCATGACCTGAGCTGAAATCAAGCAGTGGATGCTCAACTGACTGAGCCACCTGGGAACCCCACCATTTTTTTATTTTGGTATGTGGTGAGAGCACTTGAAATCTACCCTTTTAGCAAATTTCCTGTATACAACATAGAATTATTAACTAGAGTCATAATGCTGTACATTATATCTTTAAATATTCATCCTACATAACTGCAACTTTGTACCCCTTGATCAACATCTCCCCATTTCTCCCACCTGTTAACCACTCTTCTGTTTCCATGTATTTGATTTCTTTTTTAGATTCCACATATAACTGAGATCATACAGTATTTTTCTTTCCATATCCGAATTCTTTCCCTAGTGTAATGTCTTCTAAGTTCATCCATGTTGTTGCAAGTGGAAGAGTAACCATTTTTTAAGACTGAGTAATATCACATTGTATATTTATTCATCTGTCAAAGGACACTTAGGTTGTTTTCACATCTTGGCCATTGTGAATAATGCTGTAGTGAATATGGGAGCACAGATATTTCCAAGGTACTGGGTTCAATTCCTTTGGATAAACACCCAGAAGTGGTATTGCTGGATCATATGATAGTTCTAATTTTCATTTTTTTAGAGGCCTCCGTATTATTTTCCATAATGATTGTGCCAATTTACATTCCCACCAAGAGTGTACAAGTAGTTCTTCTTTCTCCACATCCTCACCGACATGTGTTACCTCTTTTTAATGATTGCCATCCAAGTGTGAAGTGATTTCTCACTGTGGTTTTGATTAGAATTTCCCTGATGATTAGTGATGTTTAGCACCTTTTCATGTACTTTTGGCCATTGGTATATCTTCTTTTGAAAAATGCCTATTCAGGTACTTTGCTTCTTTTTTTTCAGCCTGGTTGTTTGCTTTCTTGCTATTGAGTTGTAGAAGTTCCTTATATATTTTGGATATTAACTCCTTATCGAATATATGGTTTGCAAATATTTTCTCCCATTCCATAGGTTGCCTTTTCATTCTGTCAATTGTTTCCTTTGCTGTGCAGAGCTTTTTAGTTTGAGGTTGTCCCTCTTGTTTATTTTTGCTTTTGTTGCCTAAGCTTTCGGTGTCACATTCAAAAAATTATTGCTGGTCAGCAGCGTGACAGAGTACTTGATCCTGGCCTTTGTCTCCTCACACACCAGCACCAAAACAATAGCAATTAGGCAACTATCCGAAATAACAATGGAAGGGCTCGGATTCCATCAAGAATCTACTGTAACACAGTGTAGCAAAAAATGAATCACTGCATAAAAAAGATCACTGGGGAAATTGTCTTAGTTGGGACATTGGAGACGACTAGGACGAAGAAGAGGGGCAGGGGCTCCCACAATCAGCTGTGCAGCAGGTGCTACTTGCTGCCATCTCCCTGGTGACCTGCTCTGCAGAGGGACCCCTCCTGCCTTTGCCACGGAGGGCCTCACAGCCCCCGCAACAGTGGCAGATTCCCCATAGCTCTCATAGCAGAGG